CCTTCTTCCCAAGTGGAATTGTGATTGATTATGGACTTTAAAAGATAAAGTTAAGATCATATTTTCCATTGGTTGATGTTTTAATCCTTTGAAAAATGTCTTGGATTGACACTTACAGTATTTTAAGTCTCGAGAAAAGTGTAAAAAATAAACGATACAGTATTGAAGCAACGTGTTTTTCTACTGAAACACCCTACACACAGTTTTATTGGCATAATCTGTCAGAAACACCTCAGTGTCCTTTCTGTCCTTCTTTTCCCCTTCACAGATGGAACACGAGTCAGGCTGGTGAATGGAGCAAACAACTGCTCTGGGAGAGTGGAGGTCTATGCAGGAGGCTACTGGGGCACAGTGTGTGATGATTACTGGGACATAGCAGATGCCAGTGTTGTATGCAGGGAGCTGGGCTGTGGAAGAGCTGTGTCTGCACTCCAGTATGCACCATTTGGCCAAGGATCTGGTCCTATATTTTTAGACAATGTGAACTGTATTGGAAATGAATCATCACTATTAAACTGTTCATCCCCAGGCCTGGGAGTACATGACTGCAGTCACTATGAAGACGCTGCTGTCATCTGCTCAGGTAAAGGAACACATCTTTTTATTTGTGATCTTTCATATGTGGTAAATAATATCTGTTTTGACTAGTTATAGAGGTTATTGCTTTTTGTACATAATTACAAAGAGAACTTGAAAACAGATATACTCAATACAATTTGTGTTGTAATGCAGGCTTCTCAAGTTTTTCTCATATATTAAACTATTTCTAGAATTATTAACATATTTACAGCTTAATTAGGAAAGCTCTCTAGTTCTTTCTTTTCAATTATTATGTGCACTGTTCGTCTTCGTTTCTATCTGTCAATCCATCCAACCGTTCCCTTCAGGAAACAACACAAGAAAAGTTGCAGTACTGTCTAAAAGTCTGTTACAAATCCAGAATGACTTGATATGACACTTTAAAAAAGGGATTGCTTCAGGATCAAAATCAGAGAGTTAAAACATAACATAATGCTATTTTATTTACATACAGCATTTGTCTGCTTGACAACAGAAGTTGTAAAGTTGATCAGTGATGGAAAACAAAAAACCACCACATTAAAAACAGTTTTTCAAAGGTCCACTTCAGACAAAATCCATAGTTTATAGTTAATAGGTTTCACCTTACAGCAGGGGTGCCCAGCCTTTTTTAATGTAAGATCTACTTTTTCATTTGCCAGTCCAACGCAATCTACCAGTGTGAATTTGAAACTCTGATATAAGAAAAACAGACTGTTGGCACATCAGTACAATAACGATACCTACTAAAATTATCACTAAAATGGCAGCAAATAAAAGCAAGTGACTCATGCTACAGTGAACCAGTCATGTTCCCCATTTTAGAAAAAAAGAATATCCTACCTTAATTTGAGCATTGCCACTGAGAAGCTTACTTGAGAACACCTGTAATTTGTTTGGAATGTGTTGACACTGCTGATCATGTCGATGTCGATTGTCCCTGCAGCTCGACATTCAGATCATTTAGCAGTTCAGTCAGGTCTGTGAGGAATGCCAAATCCAGAAAGCACTGGTCATCCTCTAATTGGGCATATTCACCATGTTTAGACGACTTGAGAAACTCTTTTGATTACAGGCAACACCTGTCTGAATCTTACCAAAAACAAAGTTTGTTTTTGAATACTCCAAACAGCTAGTCAGCAGCCTCAGCAAACGCTTTTATTACTTCTCGATCCCTGAATGATTTTTTTGTGTTTAGCCAGGATGTGGCTCACACGGAACGATGTGATGATTGCCGCTTTCCCTCTTGTATTAGGCCTCGTGAAAACTGACTGCTGCTAGTGAGATTTTAATTTGTCCACTTTTTTCCATAACTTGCTTTTGTCGTTTTTTGCTTTTGCACACAAAAGCATACGTTTTGTTTGCAGTTTTGAAATGTAGTTCTATATTTCCCTTTTTCGCGAAGACGCTAGTATTGCAGATTTGAATGCGAAAGTACCAAAAAATAATCATGCTCCCATTCCGGCACGTTTTCGGTCTCTTTGCTTCATCATTTTCGGTCAAACACTACGACTATCAAAGAGGCAATCAAACTGTTGGCCAGTCTATTTCGCTCAACTATGCACTGAAGCGAACGTGGGGTTTTTGCGGCAGTAACCAAGAGACCGTCCTTGGGTAGCACACACAATACTATTTATTTAGGGAGCTCCTGTAGCCTTTTTTCCCCAGTGTCAGTCAGCACTCAGGGAATATACTTTTACAACCCATTCGACAAGGGTTAAACACACACAAGGGCAGTAAAATGTATGACATTACATGCACAGATCTGAACGAATGTTTAGCCTATCGAAAAAAGTAGTCAAATAAATAGCCCTTTTATTTTTTGCCAAACATTCTTGCGATCGACTGGTTGGGCACCCCAGCCTTACAGTATTCAGGGATTAATTTAAGGAGAGTAGAAGTGCATTTCATTGCATACAGTTTACATAAGCATGCATTTCAGATGCTATTATTTTGACGCAACATAACAAGAAGAACATGAAATCCTGTTACATTACATAGGGAGTTAAAAGACGTTGTCACTTCACCTAAAGAACTGTCTGCTATTTAATCAGCCTACAAATTGATCTAGTGTTCCATTTCCCACGAAGGTTTCACTGACTTATTAAAGTACTTGGAAAGAAAAATCTGTTCTTTAAGTACAGTAATTAAAAATATTTAGAATTCCATGCAAGGACTATTACACAAAAAACGCGACTGGTTTGTTAAAATACTTAAGAAATCTTTTGTTCACATATTAGATAAAATAGAAATCCAGGGAGGAGCTACTTTAGAATTGTTTCTTTAATCAAACTGTATACTGTACATCTCTTTCTGAATTTGTTTTCTTCATTTTTCTTTTCAGGACCAACAGAATACAGTGAGTTCACTTTTATATAAATTGTTTCTGATCATAACATTTACAGTGTATTGTAAGGACAAATGTTCAAACTCATGATAACATGTCAAAAAATAGGAAACCGAAATACACACTGAAATTGTCTGGTAATTAAAGCAACTCAGAAGACTTGATAAATTCTTTAAAATAGTCATGGTGAACAAAGATGTCTCTGTATGACCCAATGAACATTTAGTAAAGCTTTTTATAGGCCAATGTGTATGCATACTTTTATTATAATTAAACTTTCTTTTTAAAATCAGATGGAATGGCATGAAATACCAAGTTTTTTCTCTAATTAGAAAGCTTTCATGGTATCTTCCAATGTAAATTTGTGAACAAAACTGGAACTTCTTAGTTTTGGCATTATTAATGCAACTGTAATTAAAAGTAAATTGCTTTAGATAGTATTTTATCATTTGAAAAATTACAAACAATCAAAGCATTTCAATTTCACCATCTTGTTGAACACGTACTGTAAATATAAAAGCATTTACTACTTTTGGTTGTTGTTTCTGTGTTAATTAAACATAATGAAGGTTAACTGACCAACTTCTCTTAACTCTGTCTAACTGAATCTTACTCGGAATAAAAGTAATAATACAGAATTTTCAACAGCTGATAAAATAAAAACTTTGTATATTTTATTATTCAACTTCCCAAACATTATTTAGCAGGTGCAAACGTACAAAGACACACATTCCATAGCATTGAAATAAAAGCTGTATATTTACGTCGCTATATGATTTAAAATTAAGTCATGTGCACAAGTATTAGAACATCAGCACATGATGCAGTTCAGACAGTATAATCAACTTAGCCTACTACAAATATCCACCATTGATTTTTGCCAGTGAAGTCCTGTCCAGTTTTCTTCTTCTCAAGTGGATTATGTTGTTCTTGTACAATGTACAAGTTTAATCTGATCCATGATTCACTGTTTTTGTGCTTCTTTTTGATAAGTTTCTGAGATCGTTACTTACAGCTGTTTTATCACAAGGAAACTATGCAAATCAAAGATACAAAAGCAGCAGGCTTTTCACCTAAAAGACTTTGTGTTGTACAGCTTTATCAGTATCAGAAACACTTCATTGTCCTGTCTGTCCTTCTTTTCCCCTTCACAGATGGAACACGAGTCAGGCTGGTGAATGGAGCCAACAACTGCTCTGGGAGAGTGGAGGTCTATGTAGCAGGCTACTGGGGCACAGTGTGTAGTGATTACTGGGACATAGTAGATGCCAGTGTTGTGTGCAGAGAGCTGGGCTGTGGAAGAGCTGTATCTGCACTCCAGTATGCACCATTTGGCCAAGGATCTGGTCCTATATTTTTAGACGATGTCAACTGTAATGGAAATGAATCATCTCTATTGAATTGTTCATCCCCAGGCCTGGGAGTACACAACTGTTACCATTTTCTAGACGCTGCTGTCATCTGCTCAGGTAGAGAAACACATCTTTCTATTTGTGATCTTTCATATGTGGTTAATAATATCCTTCTACTAATAGAGGTTCTTGCTTTTTTGGGACTTGTAGTGCAATACAGGAACTTGAGAGAGCCCACCTGCTGGGAGTGAGATAGCCCAGTTCTGGAACCTGCAGCAGCATGCAGGGAATAGACTAGAGCTCTGTGTTACTGGGAATGGAGAGAGCAGGGAATGTGCACTTTGGGGATGAGTAGCAGTCTGTAACCACCTACACAAACAGATGTGGTGCCAAGGCTAGCTAGGGAACCAGGGAAGCTCGGGGTCTGCAATGAAGGGCAAATCCGAAAGCCAGAGTCACAATTCCAATCCAAATCCAATGCTGGGTAGACACAGGGAGAAAACTAATTGTGGGGAATCTAGGAGGTAGGTCGAGGAGACAAGCCAGGGTCAGGACAAAGCCGGGCAAAGATCCTGGAGACAAGATACGAAATGAGCAAGAGTCAGAAATCCAACAAACAAAGCAAAGGAAAAAAAATGGGAATGGGATTCCAGGAGATTCAATGGTGGAACTCTGCTAAAGGACTCAAAATCCAGCATATACTGTATACTGCCACTTGTTAAAGCAGCAAGCTTACTTAATTGCTAGTTAATTGCTACACAAATTACTTGGTGTGTACCAAATGTTACATTAAGTACCTTTTTTCTTTTACAACAGTTAACATTAACATGGTAAAGAGGTTTGCTTCATAAACAATTGATCATCGCTGTTGATAGAAAATGAAGAGAAATAATTATATACTGTATACACACATAAAAATGATTTATTCTAGTAATATTCTATTTATATTACTCACATCTGAAGAAGGCTCCACTGCCAAAATGTTGTGTTTTCTTTCTTTTCAGCATGGAATAAACCTATTACATATTCTATTTAAGACTTATTTGGCATTATTGAAGTACGCGTTGTAGCATACATTACAGTAACTACCCAAAGTGTCACGTTCGTAGACCCCCCCCCCCTCAAGGACGCTCCAGCCCTTCCTTGTTTTCCACTCATCGCCCGCACCTGCTCCCTGTTCTAACCCCCTTTCAGTTCTCCTTAAAAGCCAGGCACTCAAGTTATTTGGAGCTCTGCAGATGATCTCTGTATCGTGCGAGTTCAGGACCTGGAAGCGGCTGGTCCCATTAAGGTTTTATTCTCTGTTCCTGTCTCCCACTGGTTCCAGTTTTTAATCGTCAGTCTTGGATGGACCACCCGGTTTTGGACTTTAGCTTTCGTTTGGATTCCCCTTTGGATTTTCTCCCTGATTGTTTGCCTCGGCCACACCTCCCCCGAACACCAGCGCACCAAGGACACGCCCCCTGTTTTTATCCATGCATGATCTTTCCCCCGTGTTTTTTCACTTTTCCCTGGATCGTGTCATCCGCATAGGGTCTGAAAGAACTGTTTCGTTACACAAAGATGTTCATAAAATAAACAAGGAACATTATTTATTCCATAGATAATTCTCATTATTTTTCCCAGGAAGAACGAAAGTCAGGCTGGTCAATGGGCACAACAACTGCTCTGGAAGAGTGGAGGTCTACTATTATGGCACATGGGGGACAGTGTGTGATGACGGCTGGGATGTGTCAGATGCCCAGGTGGTCTGTCGAGAGCTGGGCTGTGGTAATGCTCTGTCTGCGCTAAGTGGAGCAACATTTGGGCAAGGAACAGGTCCCATCTTCTTCGATGATGTGCACTGCACTGGAAATGAATCATCACTGCTTAATTGTTGGTCTGTTGGACTGGCCTCTCAAAACTGCCAGCACAATGAAGACGCTGGTGTCGTCTGTTCAGGTTTGAACATCAGCCATTGGCAACCAGATCTTATCCCTCAAATATGTTCTTGATAGTTACCATATTTCTAAGAGTATGTAAACATACAGTGCCCTCCCCAAGTATTTGGACAATACCTAAAATTGGCATTTACCTGTTATATACACAAGAAATTGAAATTCACAAAAAACAAATTATTCTGGGTCAGTGTTCAGAAGGTCAGCTTTTATTTTTCGGATATACTGTATTTTGCAAACAATCAGAATTCATCCAAATACAATATTTTAGAATTCATCCAAAGCATATGTTGTGGTCAAAATGTGCTAATCAAATTGCAAATGACTTTTTTATATGTAATAAAAAGTTAACATATGTTTTAGGCGTAAGTCGGTAGGACATGCATACCTATGTACCATTCAGTTTCCAAATGTATTGCAAAAAGGAGGTGTTACTTTCCGTAATGCAGATAAAACATGAATTGAAGTGCGCTGCAGTGCATTCCATCAAAATTGGCAGTTTGAAATTTTAAATATTATAATAACATTATAGAGGAAAATAAAAACTGGACATATTAATCCAACCACCCACATCCCCATCCAACATACTAAGTACTTACAGTATGAAGAATTTGTGTCTTTCTGTAGACCATTTTAGAAAATAAATTAATGGATTAATTCCATATCAACTTTAAGTACTTCTTCATGTTTTCATGATTCTATTTTTAGAACGTATTCATTTAAAAAGTATTCTCAGTTGAGATAATTGATTCAACCCATTATATGAAGATGCTGATCATAATTTCAGGTGATTACAAGGTTAACTGCATTTTATTACCATGATAGATGTTTTTTATATTCTGCAAGAACACAGACTATAATCTTTTGTCTGATGTCTTATCTCCTGGCAGATATCAGTCATGCATCACAATGCCTTTCTGATGTTTCCTGATTTCCAGATGGCGCCACAGTCAGACTGGTCAATGGAAATAACAGGTGTGCTGGGAGGGTGGAGGTTCGTCACAATGGCCAGTGGGGGACAGTGTGTGATGACTACTGGGACATCAGAGATGCGCATGTTGTTTGTCAAGAGCTGGGATGTGGCTATGCTCTGTTTGCCCCTGGTTGGGCTGCCTATGGAGAAGGAACTGGCCCAATCACTCTGGATGATGTGGCCTGCACTGGGTCAGAGACATCACTGCTGAACTGCGGACACTCTGGCCTGGGCCGCCACAACTGTTACCATTTCGAAGATGCCAGTGTGGTGTGTTCAGGTGGGATCATCTGATTTTCCAGCACCATACAGTACATACTTACATGTACAATATATCGTACCTTATTTGTTTTTGTGCAAAGAATAAGGCTAAGAAGTATAAAATAAAAGTATTTGTTTTACTTTCAAACTACTTACATTCAATTTCTGGCCAAGAATGAAAAGTTATAACATTCACAATTATTTTTAGAAGAGAAGCTTGAAAATCTATTGAAGTATTGTAGTTGATCACATGTTGAGACATACTGTACTAGCAATATTTCCATGACAAATAAACTTTATAGAAGAAACAGTTTCAAAAACCAACTTTAGAGCAACCTAATCTAAAATATATGAATATTAAAACATTTTTATCTCTTACAGATTCGTCCACTCTTTCAGGACCTTATAGTGAGTACCCAACACAACAAATATCCAAATATGCAATATGCAAATCTGCAAATGAAATGTTTGGCAATATCCAGCCTAATTTAGTAATTCCCTTATAGTCAGTAATATTATGTTGTCACTTGGTGTCATAATCCAGACAGCATTACTGAAATTAATTGAAACAGACATTGCTTGACTGGGGGTAGAATGCACATTTTCCATTTTACCCTGATTCAGCAAAGCAGTAATATTATTGCCTTACAGATAACTAATATAATTTTGTAAAACACTCCCATAACTGTGAGCCTTCAAAGCTTGTGAAGTACTGGAACCTTATTAATCTTGCATTCATTCTGAATTTAATTGAGTCAGTGTTCAGTGTAATGATAATTCAAAATAATGTGTGTTGTACAAAATTAACACATAAAGTAATTCAGTGTAAGAAAGAGCCTTCACTTTTAAATTAAATACATGTATTTTCAGTAGTATGAATACTGTTATTATATAGTCATGTTTTATGCATCATCAGTTCCCCTTTTCCTTTCCAACATCATCATATTATAATAAGAAATTGCTTGTAAAGTAAGATGTGAACATTCTTGTGGTGATTTAATTTTAAAGCACCAATTATTTTAATGATACACAGCATGTGCCGTGGGTTGGATATTAGAATGTTTAGATAGCAAGAAATGTATTTTTTTAATATACAGTATAACAGGCTTCATATACTTCAGCTACAAAATCTTGATTTGTTATTATTAGTATATAATTAATTATAGCATTATGCATGTATGGATAGTTAATGAAAGAATTGCAAATTACTTTTACATGCATATGACATTCCCAATGAAGGTATTTCTTTTGCAAATAATGAATATCATTAGCACATTCATTCAAGCTCTTTTATAGTGTACATTCATTTTATAAATGAATTACTTCAGAACTAGGCTAATTAGAATATGGTGATGTAATCAAGACTCTTTGAATTACCTGATGTATTATCCCTTGTGTTGAATCCCAGCTGGCCCCAGAGTCCGCTTGGTCAATGGGAATTCCAACTGCTCAGGGCGAGTGGAGGTTTACTATGCCGGCCAGTGGGGGACTGTGTGTGACGACAGCTGGGACCTGAACGCCGCTCACGTCGTGTGTGGGGAGGTGGGCTGTGGGAGGGGCTTGTCGGCTCCAGGATTCGCAGAGTTTGGAATGGGCATCGGCCTGATAATGCTGGACGACGTTCAGTGTCTGGGGAACGAGACCTCGCTGTTCAACTGCAGAGCGACACAACTGGGCCTGCATAACTGTCACCATCTCGAGGACGCCAGTGTGGTTTGTTCAGGTAGGGGATAACCCTCAGGGTTAGAAAAACACTGCTGGTGTATCAGTTCAGTTCTCACTGTTTGACAGGTTTTAACAGCAAGTAGTGAAAAAGTTCAGTATATGAGTTAGTTCTGTAGTTTGCAAGCTATAGGCTCTGCTTTTTTTACTGTATCTGTTATGGCAATGAACAAAACTGTTCTATGAACAAAACCGACCTCTCAACAGAAGGTAGGTAGACAGGACAGAACTGTATATCTACTCATTATGGAACATTAGCAACAGTCCTTGCTTTACTGTTGTTGTTTTTTTCACCTTGATTCCCAACCTTCACTATATCTCTCTTATGTCCGTTTTAACCTGATTCCCAGGCCCAGTATACGTCAGGCTGGTGGGGGGCAGTGACAGGTGCAATGGGAGAGTGGAGGTGCATCATTCGGGAGTGTGGGGGACGGTGTGTGACCACGCATGGAATGTGACCACTGCTCAGGTGGTCTGCAGGGAGCTGGGCTGTGGACATGCCTTATTAGCCCCTGGAGCTGCCACCTTTGGGCAAGGCACGGGCCACATTTGGCTGGATGACGTTTCGTGCACTGGCTCGGAGACCTCACTGCTGCAGTGTGGAAACAGGGGCTTTGGAGTCCATAACTGTGCCCACAGTGATGATGCTGGAGCGGTCTGTTCAGGTATGTTTTCATCAATCCATTTCTAAATGTTATTGTGACATTTTATAATCATCTATTTATTTCCTTTTTTATAATAGGTGAGTGCAAATGTCTTCAAAATTAAGGGAATTGATTGATTTATTGTTTATGAGCTCAACAAGAGCTTCAGTTTGGATATGCATAAGTATGTCAGAGGCAATTGTTTAAACCAGAGTCAAATGAAAATAAAACTAGGCAGTAAAATTGTAAACCATGTGAAACAGTAAAACTGTGTGAAGCATAGTCACTATTTTGCTGAGAGTAACTTCTTTCTTTCAATTTCTAGGAGCATGAATTAAATGCTGGTATCCAAACATTCTATAGGTCTGCATAGTAAGTATAAGATACAACATAATTTAAACACTAGAACTAAATAATCACTTATACAAGTTGTGAAAGTGTATTTTAACTCATAACAACTGCAGATGGGAAGAACATTAATCTTTACATTTCCTCCTCATTACATTAGATATGCTTATTACAAAAAGCATAATGGCACAATATTGTAATCAGATTTAAATGATTGCTTAGATAAATCTGTTATATTATGTTTATTATTATTATGTTTTATTTAAACATTTTTATTTTATAAAGTAATATAACCGGCATTTTTTCTGCTTACCTTTTAGATCAAAGAAGCTGACTTACTGAAATCAGAAACCTTCATGTCCTTCATTAGTTATAGAAAATGCAATGGACATTTTTAATGGAAAAGATTTCCCTTAAATATAGAGTAAAGTAAATTGTAGCTGAGAAAAAAGTTCTGAATATCATGTTTTTTTTTCTTTCCTGTCCTGAGAAATGGACAAACAGCATTTATTCTTTAGAAGCCATCTAGTAATCTTTTTATTGTCTTTTTAAGTATTTTCTCTTAAAAACCTACATTAAACTTGATTCTAAAGCATCAACATGAATTTTAAAGTTGTTTTCAGATAAAAATGCACACTTACACATCTGATAGATGGGTCACTGTCTGAATGTGGAAGTGAATCATTAAAGTTTACCTGAAATGAAATTTAATCAATATGCAGTACATATGGACCATTAAAGAGAATATTTTGTAATGTGACACAAAGAAGTTACAAAAAAAGTGGACCTGAACTTGTTTATTCTTTTTTGGAAAGTCACAATTCTATTTAGTAAAAGTCATTTAATGCTTAGAATACCTGAACAGTCCAGAGGATATGCTCTCTACAGCATGTTAGTATTTACTACACAGACAAACAGAAATCTGTGTTCTGAAACTGGTGAGCTGGATCAGTTACTGCAGCCCCTGAATCAAGCAGTCACCATACTTGTACTGTATGTACATTTATGCCATATTAACATACAGGCCCAAGGAGAACATCAACAAATGATGACACTGTACCTTTACAAGAAGGAAATTCCAAACAGCTCACAAACATCAGGTGTATATAATCCACCAGTACCCGTGTTAAAGGTGCATCCCTAAATACAGTGTTTTGAAGTAGATGAAACAGAAGAAGCAGTTAGCAGTAGAAGACGCAATGTTTCAGCTTATTAATGCTTTACATAGAGGAAACAACCACAATCCCCTAAAGTATTGATTTACTGTCATGTAACACAAAGTCATCAATGGACAAAGACATCTCATTAGTGCTTGTGAGAGAGATACCTGTACCTAATGATGCTGCAAGACCTGCAACAAGGTTGCTACTGTACAAGCTATGTTCCAGGTTGATGCTGAACATAACAACCCTACTCAACAGTGAATGACGATGTTGAACATAACAACCCAACTCATTGATGCGTTCAACTGAATTCCTATTGGCTGATCCTGCAGGCCAATCTAACAGGAATGCCTGCTGTGTAACCCTGGCCGTGTGAGATGGGCAGGACTACCCTGCAGAGTAACACATTCTGAATGGAACTCACTAATTTTACCACAAAATGACTACCTCTCCCCGAAACTGATCCCTTTCAAGAGTAGTTTTGGACAAATTGTTTCCCCTCTTACTGACAGAGACATGCAAAGCTCGGATAAAAAACTATGACTTGCCAAACAAAAATCGATGTTGGTGAAGCAGGAGATTACTTATTTGTCAGTACTGATTGATACTGCCAACAAAGCTGAAAACCAAAGCCTGCCAGACATCTTTGGGTAGAAGGCATTTCTCATGCATCCCTATTGAGAGACTTTAATGACCCAGTTTCTATAGCTTGAGTAAGAATGCAATAAAGTCCATTTTTAATTAAAATGATTGTTTTTATTGTTTCCGGTCAAGTAAATGTAAGGTTTGAGTCACAACGTGAAGACACTGCTCAAAAGTGTAAATGATCCCTAAAAGTAATATAAAATCAATGACATCCTGGGATCCAACAGATGTTCCAGTGGACATGATTACCACAGGAGCCCACACTGTGAGTTAACTACTACTAAATGTCACGTTGTTAATTGTAATAATTATTCTTACTTTGTTGTGGCTCTTAAAAGTATATCCTAGATTTGCTGGGTGATTCGACTGGGAGGGGATATGTTTTGTTGATAAGGATCCTGTTCACCCTTTTGTTTCGTGTAGACCTTTGAACTGAACTTTGCAACCACTGTAAAATACAAATCTCATTTACATTTAACTTCCTGCTTTTCTCAACTCAGGAGAGCCTTTGTTTACGTGCTGCTACAGTATAGACACATAATACCAAACCAGGATTTTGAATGAGTTTTTCGGTTGTTGCGTCACTCCTCAGACTCCCTGTCTATTTTTCATTTCAACTCGTGTGTTTGTGTCCCTCTAACGATGAAATTGCAGCCCTCGGAGCTAGACACTGTCTTGGACACCATTTCTAAATCTTTTGAAATCTGAGTGCACACAACAAAACCGCTCGCATATCGCCTGATCTTAAGGTAAGGTTTATTCGTGTTTTTTTCCCTACCACTTATACATTATATTCATTGTGAATGTTGCCTCTATGTAAATTACCAGTATAAAACTAAGGCAATGCAGGGAAAGATTTCACTGATTTCTTAATCGGGTGTATGTAACGACTGCACATTTTCTTAGTTTTAGACTGTCTTTCACATAATCTGTATTTTAAAAAGATCATACTGATAAAGCTTCACATTTATTACTGCAGTGTTGTTGTCATTCGTGTTTAACTGCTAGAAGTCGATAAAGCGGTTAATCACTGAAAAACCAAAGTCGTGTAGTGCTTGTCGGGACCGTTTTATTCATTCGAAAATGTCGTTATTTAATTATTCCTATACACGTTGGCAATGTGGTAAAAACTGACAAAGCTATTTTTTTTCTCTTGGAAATATAAAAAAATCACAGCCTTTTTTTACAGTCATGCAGATTCGGGAAAACGAAACTTAAAGGCCGCTTCATTTTCACCATTTTGAGGAAGGGAAAGCGAGAACGCTACAATAATCATTCTAAATGAGCTTTATTTGAATTTATATTATATATATATAAACTAGGAACGTATAGGGTGATGTAATTAGCTATAAAAGGCGGATAGTTAAATTATTTAGCGATTGTTCGGACGGACAGATTGAGGGCAACACCCTTTTAGAGGAAAGTGTGTGTGGGGTGCTAATGCCAAAAATGAGAGGGGTGGAGGGTTTTATGCAACTTGCAAACTTGTAAATCTCCCAGGAAGCGAAACTCAGATTCTCTACCCGCATTCCAGAATTGAGAACTGTACTCTGCGCTCTTCCTCTCCCTAGAGATGCTTCTCTTGCAGTCTCCTTAGTGGCGAACCAGTTTTGGCTTACTTAAGTTTACTCGTCGCTCTGTCAAGATAGGGTTGTCCGGTTTGTATTTTTTTCTTAACCGGATAATGACTAGGTCGCAACCTTTTCACGGCCCAAGATGCTTTCACTGGAGTTAGTGAAGAAGTAACTGGAGACACTGAGTAGTCCGTACGGAATTACATTCCCATAGTGCACCCTTAACGTGAAATATACTGTAAAACATTTTACGAAGAAATCTCTAATCACACCTGTTTTCTCGAGCTTGGTTAGTGTGGATTATTATTTTTTTACAGGCTACAAGTAACAGGGGGTAGTGCTTCTGATCGTCCGACCTACAATATGTTACATTGGACTTACTGTATATTGTGACAGCTACTGTATAGGTGTATAAGTGTCTCTAAGAGTCCATATAAAGTGTGTGACACCCGGCAAAAATATTTAGTGAAATATAAAATAATTATGTTTTACTAGAAAGATTAACAATCCATGTTATCACTTATCATTTCCCCATGGAGGTGGTCTTCCCATTTTTTAGTGTTAAATCCCCATTTGATCCCTTGCACAAATGTTTTCTTCTGTGCAATATTTTCCACATAAGTGTTTGTTTCAGAAACAAATATTCTGTATTATAAGTGATGAACAAGGGATCGTCTTATGTAAATATACTCAATCGCCCTCTTGATTTTGCAGAATTACCAGAAATAGCAAATTGCTTGTTATTCTTTTTAGTAACCACAATAGATCTTTTTCTTCTCACGTAACACAGATATGCTCTATTTCAGTTCTCCTGGGAAAGGACTTTGAGACTAAGTGAGGAGGATGATCCAAGGAATGTATTAATAGTTCAATAGTAAGTGTTCATAAAATAAATATATAAATTACTTCTATATGTATTTTTCATTTACAGTACCATTGATTTGGTGTTGCAGATATATTCTTAAAGTAATACAGGGTAATGAAAAACTATTTAGAAAACAAAATAGAAAACCCAGTGGCTTTAGTACTAAATTATGTCCTGTGATGTACTGGTGTATACTTGCACCAGGTGCTTGCCGGGATCAGATCCAGCTCCCCCTTTTTTGGATGTAAAGAGGTTAGAAAATGGATGGATGGATAGTACTAATGTTATTACTATATTTTATTTTGTAGGCTGGATTACTTTGCTGAAGCAGTATGAGCTCCTTGTCTGACCTGCCTGACAGGATTGAAGACTGGAGCAGAGAAGATGTCCACCGGTGGTTGGTTGGTGTCCTTAATGTTGATAGCAGATGGGCAGACAAATTCTATGAAGAGGAGGTCTCGGGGTTAGAACTTGTTTATTTTCAAAAGCAAGACTTGCTGGATTTGCATATAAAACATGGGCCTGCTGTTAGAATTATAAACAACCTAGAGGAACTTAAAAAAGCAAAGCAACCATCACAGGACCAGAAATACCTTGAGGAACATGAGAAAGCAAGTCAACCACCACAGGTGCAGAAGAACCTGAAGGAACTTCAAAATGCAAAGGAACCATTACAGGAACAGAAGAACCTGGAGGAACTTGATAAAGCAAAGCAACCATCACAGGTGCAGAAGAACCTGGGGGAACTTCAAAATGCAAAGCAACCATCACAGGAGCAGAAAAACCTTGAGGAACATCAGAAAGCAAAGCAACCATCACAGGAGCAGGAGAACCTGGAGGAACTTGAGAAAGCAAAGCAACTATCACAGAACCTGAAGGTACTTCAAAATGCAAAGCAACCATCACAGGAGCAGAATAACCTTGAGGAACATCAGAAAGCAAAGCAACCATCACAGAACCTGAAGGAACTTCAAAATGCAAAGCAACCATCAGAGAAGCAGAAGAACCTGGAGGAACTTCAAAATGCAAAGCAACCTTCACAGGAGCAGAATAATCTACAGAAACATCAAAAAGCAAAGCGACGGAAAGCAGGAAAGCAGAAGAACCAGGAGAAACTTCAAGAAGTAAATCAACTGTCACAAGATGAGAATACTAAACATAACACATCTCAAAAGGTGGCAAACCAAAGTACACAAAACACATCAGAAACTGTAAATGAATCAGCCAGTGCAAATAAAAAATGTGCAGAAGAAAAGAGGAATCCAGAAGGTAACAAAACAAGTCCAGGGATAAAAGCAGATATAGAGCTCAGTGAACAAAAATCAGCTGACCTCAAACTGAAAGCAACTACAAATGAAAACGGCAATGACAATAAAGAAGCAAAGGGTTTGTTGCATGCTCAAAAGCAATCTGAATCTAAGGCTGAAAGTAGCCCAAAGTATCCTCAGCAGAAAAATACATGTTCCTTCTACCTTTTTGACTCTCAACATCAGACTAAAAGATACATACAGAATTACATTTTATCTCCAGAGACAGGGCCAGGCAATCGTATTGAACCAGTTCATGAGTACAAACTGCTAGGAAACGTGGAAAATGCATCAGAAACAGATATTCTTAAGAAGTTCAGTAATGAAGTCTTTCGTTTTTCAGCAGCATGCATGAATTCACGCACAAATGGAACCATTCATTTTGGTGTGGGAGACAGGCCTCACTTCCACGATGGAGAAATTATTGGAATTGATGTCAAAGACAGAAACAAATATGTTGATATCTTGAATAAAAGTGTGCAAAACTACTTTGGAGAGAATGCTGAAGATGCCAAGATGTGTATTAGACAACCCCGATTTGTTCAAGTTTTATCTCCTGATAACACTTTATTAAACAAGTATGTCATAGAAGTAGATGTTGTACCAAGTTATTCTGTATGCAAAGGAAAGGAGTATTACATCAACATGATGCTCCTTGAAGACAATCGATGGATGAAGAGTAAGGAGATATATTTGTTTGTGCGGGATGGAGCTAGTAGCAAAGATCTAATGGGAAACAGGAACCAAAAAGAAATGAAGCTTGAGCTGAAAAAGTTTAGTGACAGTATCAAGGGTTTAGATTCATTGCGGAAATCTATGGAAAGCAAGACTTCACAAATGAAAAGACCAAGCAATCAAGGAGAGAAACTTAAGCACTTGATAACATGTGGAAAGGGAACACTTGACAACTATAATGAGTACATTATTGTCATAAACAAGAGTCACCCCGAGCAGCTGGAACACCTCCAGTTCCTCAGTGATTTGAAAATATTTACGGTACTTGAATTTGACCCAGACTCTGCAGTCAATGGTGTCTGCAACTTTTACAGGAAGTCCAGAATTGCAAACCTGCATTCCCCTGCAGATTTCAAGAGCACTGAATCAGAATCTACAAAAATTGTGAAACTGAATTTGTATAAGCAGACAAGTTGGTTATTTTGTAATGGGAGAGGAGATCTTGAAAGTGAAACAGACAGACCCCTCAGACCTGGAGAATGGTTAACACAGAGAGCCAAAGATGTCCAAGATGCAATTTTGTTTCTGTGTAACCCTGATGTGCTGCAAATAGGAAGATACCAAGTAGTGTTCCTTTTGCTTTCTGCAGTGGAGTCCATGACTGACCCTGTTCTTGAAACATTCTTAACATTCTACAAAAATTTAGGAGGAGCTCAAAACATTTTGTGCATCTGTGAATCTGAAAACACATTCCTACAATGGAAAGACTTTGTTCAAACAAGATGTGACACTGATATTACTAGGCACTGTATATATGAGTTAAACTTAAGTGAAATCAATGGAACAATAAGCAAACTCAGACCACTAAATGAAACATCTTGCAGATTTTTGCCTTCTTCAGGATCAAGTTCAGTAGTTTTTGAAAAGAAGGTTGAAGATCTCATGACAGCTTTAGCAGTTCTGTGTGAAAATGAATGTGAAAACACAGACATTGAAAAGAGTGAGGAGTTCAAGAGCTTTAGAAGTAAAATAGAGGAAGATTTCTACAGAGGAGGCAAAGTAACTTGGTGGAACTTTTACTTTTCCGAAAAACCACATTCTTTGCCTTTTATCAAAAGAGACAAGTTTGAAGCCCTGAAAAATAATCTAACCTCTTTGGCCAGTTCTTCTACAAGTATGTGTGTGATTCAGAATTTGTTTCATCACCCAGGATGTGGGGGATCCACTTTAGCTATGCATGTGCTGTGGAGTTTGAGAAAAGAATTCAGATGTGCTGTGTTAAAAAATAAAACAGTTCCAAACATAGAAGTCGCTAGCCAGGTCAAGCACTTGCTGATGCTTAGGAAGAGTAAAGGATCTAACTATACACCTGTGCTTCTTTTAATAGATGATTCAGAAGGAACAGAAGACGCTCAAGATTTGCAGAAATGCATTAGAAAAGCAATTGATGAGGTGTCAGCTGAACAGGAAAGGCCATCAGTAATCCTTTTAAACTGTGTGAGATCGCAAGATCCAAGAGAAAGCTGCAGTGGCAGTGTCAATGAAAGTATATATATATCCAATTCACTTTCTCAAAGAGAGCAAGAGTTCTTTGAGATGAAACTAGGTGAACTTGCAGAAAATCATGAAAAACCTGAAACATTCTATGCCTTTATGATTCTGAAGGCCAACTTTAGCATTGAATACATTGAAAATGTGGTCAGCAACACTCTGAAGGACCTGGATATCTCAAGCAAACAAGCACAACTCATTTCATTCTTAGCTTTGCTTAATGCTTATGATAATGACTCCTCAATATCTGTGTCCTTCTGTGAAGATTTTTTAGGAATAAAAAATACACTGCGGGGAAAGGTAGCATTAGAAGACAGAATGGCTCCTTATTCAACTCTGTTAATTCTTTTTCGTGTTGAGGAGCATGGCACGTACCAGGCTGTGAAAATTCTACATCATATGATTGCCACTCAGTGCCTCGAGCAGCTAACCAAAAAATACAATGTGAAGAAAAGTGAAATCATCACAAACTTTCTTCACTGTGATTTGTTTTTTAAAACTGGAATGGGAAAAGACAACCTTGCGCAAAGTGTCAAAAGCATTTTAATCACAAGGCAACGCAGGACAGAGAGCGATGACAAACACACAAGGTTTTCTCCTTTAATTGAGAAAATGAAAGACGAAGAAGGAACAGACCAAATTAGCGAGGTTTTGGTGAAAGCAGCACACAGGTTTGATAAAAGTTACGCGATCCCACAAGCAATGGCAAGACACCTGTACCTGAACAAGAAGGACTTTGAATCAGCCTTACACTGGGCAAAAATTGCCCGAACTAAAAAGGAAAGTTCCTATATCGTTGACACCATAGGACAAGTCTTCAAAACTGATCTGAGACATAAGATTGAGTTCGCTAAAACGCATAAGAAAAATCTCACTCCAGCAGATTTGGAAACCTACCTTAATTTAGCACATGAAGCAACAAAAGCCTTTCAGAAAGCTCAAGACCTGGCGAAGACTGATGATGTGCCAGACTTTGAAGATCTTTACACAAAGAGGAAACGGACTACTTACAATACTTCTGGTTACATTGGCGAAGTGGATATTGCTATGATAGTCTGTGATATTCTCAGTGAAGTACCATTCTTCCATGTAAATGATCCAATGTGTCACATCCACATGTTAAAATTCCTCAAAGGCAGCATGCCACTCGGCAATATTCGCGGTATTCATGATGAATTGAGTGACAGATTCCTGGAAGTGCTCAAGAAATATGAAGGATTCCTTGTGAACCTAAAGCCAGGAGTTAAACAAGCTTTTGAATTTTTCGAGAACTACTTTGTACACCTGAAAGACAGGAATGTTGATAGAGAAATGGAAAGCAGGACCAAGAAGAAAATTTCGGAAAGCTTTAAGAAATATGTCAGTCTGTTCTGTACCTCAGATATTGAGAAGCACAGTGAGAGGATAAGCAAACCGAAACTCAGTTTACAGCAAGATATTGAGGAAAAGAAAATCTTTTTGGAACAGCACAAAGCAGACTGCTTTTCTGGGCTTCTCCACTGTACAGATAAAGAGAGTGCAGAAATAATGCAGGAAATAACCAAGAGTTACAAGTTTATTTATGAGAACTCAAGCACCAAGACTGTCAGAGACCAAACAAACTACATATTGGCCAACATTAACCTCAAATGTAAAACTTCAGCACAAGATAAGAAGAACAAGCTATACATAGAACTGTCAAAAATTCTGAAGAGTTTACTGCAAGATATTGGAACACAACATGGATTTCCAGAGCCGTATTACTTAGCTCTGCTGCTTTTCTGGCCTGAAAAAGACAGTGTGGAGGATAATTGTAAAAATATTAGTACTTATGTGATGTCCTTAAACAAGTCCTTCAAAAGACAGTACTCCCACATGCTGTCAACAAAAAGTACAATAGCTCATTTCTATCTCGGGAAAGGGTCAGGACTGAATCGTCTTGTTCACAAAACCAAAATTGACCAATGCTTGGGTTTTGGCGAAAAATTAAACTCTCTGTGGAAAAGCGGAGCTGTGTGGAAGGAAAAGTCTGTGCAAGATCTTTTGCTTCGTGTCAATGGCACCACAGAGCAGGGCCAAGTCTACATCCAGTATGGCAGCATAAAAATCCCAGTGCGTGCTGCCTATCTTGGAGGCATAAGAAGTGGCTACAGTAAGGAGAAAGTGTCCTTTTACCTGGGATTCTCAATAGATGGGCCAATAGCCTGTGACATAGAAAGTAAGAGCTACTCTTAAAGCCTGAGTTGGACTGAAACAGGCTGCCGAACACAAGGAAGAAAACACAAAAGCAAATCTATAATCTTTGCTGTCACACGAAAGTGTTATTTCCATATGATTATCCTGCAAAAGAAATGTATATAGTATAGCTGGTGCATTGCTTGACTCCACAACATTGAAACCTAAACGAGACTGGGCAATTTAATCAAGCCTAACTTTTTGTACTTAAGAACAACTGGCTTTGTTTGGCATTCATTTGTCTCCTTTAGAGGAGTTAAGATAATGTGAAGACATGTGCTCTGTAAATAATAATAAACATGTACAGTACTCTGTAAATAATTATTTGAAACATTATTGTATGGATTGTATGGATTTTTAACAAAGCTTGTTCTGCAAGTTGTATATACAAAACCCATTTACTTTTCAGAACTATTATCCAAGAAACTATAACTGTGAATTCCAATCTGATATTACAAAATATCTTTACACAACTCATTATAATCTTAATTTGTTATATTATCCTCAGTAAATGGAATCTTTATTCTTTCTGAAAAAATGAGTACAGTAAAAAAAATTCATTTTATTTTCTTTCAGCATGTTGTTGCCTATGAGTTCTTATTTTGTTGCTGGTAAGTTTCTAAATTCCACTGGTAGTACCTTTGTAGGCTGTTCAGCATGTAAAGTTTAAGTTGGTGGCAAGGAGTGACTCGTTTTCAAAGTACTGTATGTATGACGGAATTACTAACGACAGAAAGGAGTGCAGTTAATATAGCAAAAAATGCAACAGGAATTTGAAAGGAGAGAGGAAGAGCCTAGCCTCTCCTGGTCCAGTATACTGTATTTACTGTACACAGCCTGTTCTCAGAAAGCATCAGACTGGACCAGGAGAGTACTAGCCTGATTTGAGAACACCCGTTGGCTTTGTGGGTAAGTAATAGTCACAAGCTCACATTTGGATTCCACTGCACCTATCCATTCAAAGTTTAAACATTTGATATGTTAAATAATTGACCCTTCCAGTGACATAAAGCACTCTGCTGGCTTTTAAAACTTCAAACACTGCATTCTCAGATTCCAGTGAACACTAGGTTTCATCTTATTTGATTTCTATAAAGCTGGAAAAAATGGACAGACAGTATGTTGGTAGATTAATAAACGCATATGGTTAAAATTAATCAAATTTGTTCTCTTATAAAGCTAATAAATATATGGTGTATATTAGCATCATCGGAAACAGGAGTTGATGGATGCTTACACTAATAATTATTTCACTTTCTTTTCTCTTCTTTTAGTGGCTCTGCGTGTGCATTAAGTCAAGCCCTGCTGGGCACCGCTGTAGTATGTGTTGAGGCACTTCACTCAGATGTTGTAGTACAAAGTTGTAGAAGTTCCCTTGTTCTCTAAGACAGGGATGAGGATATCAGCCTTGACATTTTAAGTCAGTTCTGTCATTTGAAATTGCTCAAATTTATATGATTTCTGAGTCTCTTAAAGTACACAGAAAAGGTGATGTACAGTAGGTTAAAATGACTACTCAACACTTCATACACATACAGTACAATACAGCAGCCGTTTGTATATATTTAATCTCCTTATGTTTATAACTGCGTTTTACACAACTTAAATGGAATGACTTCAGTGGTTTTAAATACTGTATATTAATTTCATTTAAGATGGTAAATGCTTTATAGTATATATAAAAATGCTAGGCCTGTAGCACAGCAGTTTGAAAGTTTACATGGATGTGCAGGTTGTTGAAACAAAATATTTTTCTGGGCAAATTCGGTCACACACAGGTTGCTTTCTGCATGCAAGTAGGAATCTTCTTTGCTCCAGCAGGGTAGGGTCATATCTTATACTCTTCTTGTCTAAACAAATTCCTATTCAACTCATTTTGTTAATTTTGGCTCAAATCAAATGCCAAACACCTGGCAATTTTATTAAGTCATGAGTTTAAGTAGTCTTGTTATCCCAGAAAACAATGCTCAATTGACTAACCTATCACTTTGCTATTTAGAACATAACTTAAGGTGCCCAATGATCTTCTGATGGAACATCTCTATTGCCTTAATTGTGCGTCATTTCATAAACGTACTACTGATATTCCATAACTATCATTAAACAGTCTAATTCCTGACAGAATGAAAGCTGCAAGTTGCACTGTTCTTTGCTCCCACCAAGTGTCCACAAAGTCTTGCAATCCCTGCAAAGAAACAAAATCTGTGCTTGCTATAAAATCAGACATTAAAAAAGAAAATCTTAGAATTTAACGAAATGAGGCAGATTTCACCACTGTACAGTGTGCACTTTTTTTTTTTACCGATGCTGGTCCCACTAGGACTACATAGGTGTTATTAATGCAGAGAGGAGTACTTACAGATGTCTATAATGCTATTTTGCCATCTAGTGGCAGACTACAAAAGTAGCATTTATGCTGCAATCCTCTGAAATCTCTACTTGAAATACTAAAGGACATGCACTTGAATCCTAATCAGATATAATATTTTACTTTATATACTGTATGGACAGTATAGTGCTTTTCTTCTCAAGGGGTTGTTAAGCACTTTCCATATTATAGGGGGAAACATGGCAACCACTATATGCCAGCAGCCCAAAACTTGATCTGAGCCATAAATGAATTAAGGAGGAAAATGTAAGGGATTGTACAAATAAAAAAAAGTGGAACTGAAGTTAACACTTCTACATTTATGAGCAGGGCCCTTAAATGTTTAAAAATCAATAAGTTAATAGCTCTGTTGTATTATCTAAAGGACAGTTATCCCTAAAGGAGTGTCCCCTTTCCATACCAGGGCATTGCTCTGGAAATTTGAGTCCAGACTGAAGAGCGCCACCTACTGCTTCAATAATACCACTTACTGTACATCAACAACCTCATAACCATAACAGGTTGTGGAGAGGACTACAGAGCTCCCTTCTCCTTCAGTGGCTTTCTCCTTCCATGCCTAGAATTCATAGAAAACACATGGTATTTATGATGGCACAAAACCTAATAAGCCAGCCATACAGTCTAAATGTGACAAACAGCTGAGGCAAGTTAAGAACAAATAACCCCTACCCTCCAGCCACCCTGTTATTAAGGAAGAAACTAATTGTCACTCTTAATCTGACTTGTTTAATATCACATCTTAACATGGTAGGAGTTTCCTCAACTGACAGTTTTGACCCTTGTCAATGTTAATGGTTATTCATATAACTTATCCTGTGCTGTTGAGATACTGTGCTGTGCAGTGCCTAGCAATACCTTCAAGTGACATGGTACCGAAGGGTCTTGTTTCGCCGTACAATATTCACACTAGACGTAGAGCCCGATTTAAACTGAAACACTGCCATCAGAGATGGGGCCACTTGCATTTTATGGAATGAGCTTGACAAGAAGGTGGACAAATGGAGCCAGACCAATATAAACATTCTTAGGAAATGGTTTTCTTTCACAAATACTCATTTATTGTGAAGTTCAATGTTTAAAAAAAGACACCCAAAATGGAAATAAAGATACCATATATATAATCAAGCAGATTAATCCTTTAAAATATTTTAAAACACATCTGCTCTTCTTAAATATGACATAAATGAAGGCTTAATAGACACCTTATTAGACAGTATTGAAAATAATAGATCATACTTTGCACAGCAATAGTTTTTACAAAGTTCAAGTATCCCTTTTGTCCAGTTTAGTATTACAATGCTGGCTATGTATTGAAAATACTAAAACAACTCCTCTTTTGGTCTCAACTAGAAAAATGGAAGTGACTGTGCTCACAGGCATCCTTTTAGTATCTTTACTTTAAATCCGATTCACGTGCATAAAGTTAGTTATTTAAGGTACAACTGAATACCGTCATGCATACTTTACTGGACTGAAGCCTAATAGATATGCACTTCTGATTTGGTGTCCTTTGTCCTTGGGGATCCATTGCAATCTGCTGTAGCACAGAGGTACACTTTACTGCAAACAGACTTACAGTAAGTAAAGTAATGCAAGACTTAACACAGTTATCTATATATTTTACTAAATGTAATCATTAGTAATCTTAAATATAGCTAAATCGTGAGCCAATTATGCCACAACTCTGAAAAACAGTTTATGTCCTCTAATTTTAATATGGATTTATTTAAAATACAGAATTTACCATATCTGTATGGCAGCAGAGTCAACTTGTAAAAGGGATACTTGCACAGCACAAAGAAGCCAACAAAAGATATACTTTATAACAAGCAAAGATACAGTCTAGACACGCAATAGCTTCCAGAATGAATGTTGCACAATGATTAGGTTCTCAGTTAGAAACAATAATGTTTGTAAAACACAAGAATATAAGATGCGCATCTTGCCCTCTTAGAAACCAATCTCCCCAAGTCATTTCATAAGATTACGTTTTTAAAGGTAAAATTGTTACCAAATTCCCAGTCTTAACAGTAAGGAAACAACATAAAAAGTTTCAAAAATCTTTTTTAAAACTCTCCCCCCCCAAAGATTAAAACCTTCATACAATTAACATCAAAATAAACTGGCTTTGGGAAAGGTGGTTATACTGTATATGTTTTTACAAAAACTTTTGACATTTGACAGCACAAAGCAAACCTTATTCAAAATGCTGTAAAGTACACTTTTAACCACTACCAAAACAACATGTTTTAGGTCAGTTAAGATATGTATTTAAATTGTAAAACATTTTTTATTAATGTTCCCAAATTTCTCCCTTTTAAAGGAATATTAGTCCCTCTTCATTTATTGCAAATGAAACACTACTATTAGCACTGCTTTGGCTAAAGTATACAAGTACTAGAGTACTAGATGAAGGTGCTTGTAAAAGGTAACAACACTTGCCAACTTAGCACACTTCCAGCCCAGAGTAGGAGCTTATTAGTTTATGTTCATTCTGAGGGACCTCAGTGTTGGCAGTGTTGCCCAGGTTTACTTGATTAAAGGCACTATCAGGACATGAAGAGACTCATAGTGTATCGAAAATTAGCAGGCCCATGATGCGTAGACTTAAACTATGCATCCTTCAATAACAATTAAATTCTGTGGTAACTGAACTGCTGAGAGAATGGATAATCTCTCATTAGTTACCTGTCTTATTTTCTTAATCAAATAGTAATCTTCAATTATTGTAGTTTTACTTTTTCCATGTGTCTGTATTTTATTACATAGCAAAATAAGGATTCGTAACAAACACATTTCAAATGTTTGTTTCAAAAACAAAGGGCATGGCCTACCCTATTCGTTCAAAAGACATCTCCATGAATTTGATTAAATCATTTAAAAGCTTTTTTTAGTAATAACAGCCACCATAAACAACTTGAGTCTAACTTGGCTTATCCCAAACTGTGTTCTGAGATTCATCATTTCTCTAAGGTCGACAAAATTCCTGTATTTAATATTGCCATTACAAGTGCGAAAGCTGCTGGAGACTGTGACTTAGACCAGCTGTTTAAAAGCTTGGTTGCAATTGGTCTCAGGGTCAAACAATTTTGTCTGAGCAATTTCTAAAACTTTCGCCTTTGTCATTTTCGGTCAGATGGAAAATCATACAAAATTGAAGATGCAGATGCTTTCTTCTAGTAGATT